TATACTTCTAGGGATTTGTCATCGGTTTGATATCAAATTTAGTATTTAGTAAAGACAGAGATCATTAAAAAAAAAAAAAAATGTTCAATTCACCGAAAATCTATTCCGGGGTTTTAGATTAGGAACCAATATTGCACAAATGTATTTATATATTTATTTATAATTTATAATATTCCATTGCATATTCAAAAACATTGTTTTACTTTTTTATAGACACCCAATAGAATTGCTAGTGTAGGCTATTATCCTCCCGAACCACCCATTAAATACGGTTTTGTTTATGAAAAATTTTCTATTAAATTTTCTAACTTTCGATATAAAAGATATATTTTTATGAATTTACAACTAAAAAAAATTTGCAAGACATCGTGACTTTTACAAATGTTGTCAAAATTCGAACTTCAGACCCAATTAAAAAATTATTGTGGATTTATGCTCAACTTTTTTTTTTAATTTCCAATAACAATAACTTATGAAGAACCTTGTATTACGTTTTTAAGTTTTTTGACTGATCGACATTTTTTAGCAATATTACTTCAAAAAACACTAATAATAATCGAAAATGTCATGCCTATAATTAGCTCAACATGAGTCAAAATATTATTAAAATCTAATGGTGTATAGAAACTGCGAATAAACATTCAGTGAAAAATGCACGTATGTATCTACAGTATCTTTTTAAGAGTTACACCATAAACCAAAATTAATTTTGTCGAAGACTGATTTTGTGTAAGAATTCCCGTTTATTTTTTGTTTCACTTTTTAAAACTACTATGAATTATCCACAAAATTATTTTTTCAACCACAGTGTACACATACACAATAAATTTAAAAATTTAAAAAAAAACACTCTTCATTGTATAATCAATACATTCATCGGAGCGCTCACATTTAAAATAAGGTATATTATAAAATTATGAACGCCCCACCAGCACCACCCATTCAAACATTTTAAATTTTAGCCTAATTAAAATACGTATTATAAGACATTACCTATATATTCCAGGAACATTATTCCTCATAAATGGTTTCTTACTGGACTAAAAATATTGATAAAACAACGTTATTATTTTTTTGTTAAGATATCGTTAGTTTATTGCATTTTAAAATATTTGTTGATAATAATGGCTACAAAAAACGAAATAATAAAAACGTTGACAATACCTATAAAATAAAAAATTTTTAAATTTATACGCATTTCAATACTATGTAATTTACATCCCGATAATAGGTACTTCAGGTTAATCGTTATATTATCGAATGCTACATAATAGTAATATTATGTTTGTACTTTATTTGTTTCCACAAATTCAATAATAAATTTCAAGAGTTCGTGATACCTATAATTTGATGAATTATTTTATTTACATTTTTTTCCAAAATTATAATGTCAGCCTGTCGACTATGTCTGTACCACGTTACAAGAACATTCTAAGCTCCGAACACAACGTTTTTGGAACCTCTTAGATTATCCACTACTATTTTTTTGTTGAAACATAAAAACAGAAATTATACGCTTATTTTGTTTTTAATGCATGTACATTTTCGGGCATTAATTAAATTATAGTCTGGAGGACGAATAGTGTTTGCTATCAATTTTTTTTTTCGATAAACTTAAGAGATTCACTAGTTTGGTGAGTGGTCAACTAACACCATAGACTTTGGTTTTGTGTAAGATTTTTGTATTTCCTTTAAAAGCCTTCGTTATTGGGTTAATTTTGACCTTTAGCCACCGACTATAATATACATAATTTATATATATTATATATATCTTATTCCGGGCCTTTTGTGATTGATTTTCGTATTGCTTATAAGTAAGTTATAGGTAACTAGCATAACACCTAATAATATGCATTAAATTAAATAATTCAAAATTAGCGTGCTTTGTTTTATAATATTTTGCGATACCACGACTCAAACTGACCACTAGGAACCGGCTTTTGTAAACTAAGCCCGAGGTACAGGTAAACACAAAATCATACGTGTAAACTGTGCCCGAGTTTTTATCAAGTGTAAAAAGGTGACATGTAAACTGCGCCCAGCTAAAATTTTAAAAATGAATAGCTATATTTTTGCAAAAGTAAAAGAAATTACAATCTATTTTTTATACTTGGTCAATTGGGTTAAACTTGGTATAATTAATTGAACTTCTTCAATTGATTTAGGAAATGGAGGCAATGTATTTCTTCTAGAATTATATATATTTATTTTAATATTACGTACCTACATCACTTACTTGTAAATTATCCGTTAGTGGTGTAGTGATCCCTCACTAACGCTTATATTTTTGAGTTCGACGACGTTGATGGTTGAATAGGATAAAAGGTTGCAGAGACAAGTTACACAAGTTAGTTATAAGTAGTTTATTAATGTTTTAAAAAGAGTAAATGTTCACAATTAAGTGTATAAATTTGAGGACAGAGCGAAAAGCATCTGCCCGAGAAGTTAGTTACGTACAGTATGTACGTAGTGCAAACTCTAAACTAATTCCAATTTTGCAATAGACATCATCTTATATTTATATGAAATCTATGCGGATATAAAGTACACGGTAGAGTCTAGGAGGTGGATATTTGAAAGGAGCCTGGATGTAGATGTTGTTATTGCCAAAAGACCCGAGTGGTTGATTGGCAATTTAATCCGTTTGTTTTCGCATTATTTGGCGAAGCGAATAATCGTTAGATTAGTTGCTCTGTCAAATCCAAGGTTTGAAACAGATAAGTTTTAGTTGCGCTGTCAAACCCAAGGTATTGCAAAAATAATCCTAGTCTTGTCGTTGTCCAGCGTGACATCGTGAGAAATGTAATAATAATATTGAATATATAAGAAACGTGTAGTGTAGTGTATCAATATATAGGAAACGACTCTGTCGGTTTACTACATTCCTCCCCTCGAAGATGGAAGTCTCCGACTTCCCTTAGTTCAAGAATGTACGAAGTTGTGGATAGCCAGTAGGGCTGTTTCTTGGTGCGAGTGGGAATTCGACTATGTCGACGCTTCTTTGCGACGCTTCTTGGTCCGCACCATGTGGTTCTGTTTCTTCTTGTGATTCTACTTTTGCATAGTTTGTTTTGGATTTAATCGTATTTATAATAAATATGCTCACTGTCATAAAAATTACACTTGCTATGACATAAAGTATGTAATTATTCAGTTCCTGTGAGTTTTTAAGTTCGTCGATACTGTTGTCGACTTTGCGTTGTTTTTCTAGTTGTTTTTTCGATCCTGACACTGTATTTAGGTCCTCCATGTTGTTTGTTTTGACGTGATAGTCCTCCATTAAATTGTTAGTCTCTACGCGTGGTGAGTAGTGGTTACGATCTATTATTGACCGTGGGTTGAAGTCCATATACTCGGATTTGTAATCAACTTTACCCGGTATCAGTATGTCTCTAGTGGCGTAACCTTTGCAGGTTTCGTTTAAGTGTATAATTCCTACACCTTTGAGTGTGTGACTAGTTGATTCCTTGTCTTCATCACAGGTAACAAATAGTACGTCATAGTCGGTCACGTATATCCATTCATTTTTAAATCTCTTCTTATGGAATATAGTTGTACCTATTTGCACATGCATTACTTCACAACTGTTCGGAACCTTGTCTGGATCCTGCAATAATAGTACTTCGCATGTGGGTCGTATATTACGAGGATGTAAAGGATTACCTTCAGGACATAATAGGAAATCTCTAGCGTGTTTACAATGAGTGTAGTAAAATTCGTCATAAGTTGCATAGTGTTCTTTAGATTTACTTATAGCTATGTACTTATTACTAGGTTTTATATAAACACAATCATTGTCAATACATACTGGTACAGGTATTAAATTATATAAAATAAAGTCGTTTTGATAAATTAATGGTAAAGTTATTATAAAAACTAAGTTGTCGTTAGCATAATAAATAGCAATATCTGAGAGTTTCACCAGTTCGTAAATGTTAGCAATGTCTAGGTCAGTGGGTAAATCGGTCCCCCCTGGTAAAGATACTTTAATATCTTTGACGTGTTCTAGTAACTCTAGTGGAGTTATTAAACTGGGATGTATAATTCCTATTTTTGCTTGTTGTATAATTTCTAATATCGTATCCGTTTCTAACATATGTTTGGTAATTAATAAGTTAACGTGTATAAAATGTTTTGTAAAATAATTTTTTATTTGTTGTTCTCTTGTAATGTTTGTAGTTCCGTTCACGGATAATGACAATGGCAACATAGTTATATTGTCGTGTAGTTTTAAATTATGTTGTAGTTCTACTACCTTAATTTGTTCCTTTATTAGTTTATATTGTGAAGTGTTTTTAGCTAATCCTATATTAAAATTAAATTTTTGTATGCATTCCAAATTACATATTCCGTATATTAACCTAGCTGCTTTTGTTACGAGTTTAGTTAAAGCGCTACGTTTAGTTATTACGTGTCCAATAGAATTTAAGACCTGTGTCTTTTTATGATGTAAATTTTCAACTATAGCGGTAGCTGAAAAAAGTAAGTTGTTACAATTAAAATTATTTTGTACTGGGTCGTGCATGTATTCAACGCACAATACTTTCGTTTTTTCTAGCACTATGTTTATGTACTCGAATTCGTTATTATATTTAGTAAGGTTAATATATGCAGTAAGGTCCCATTGAGATGTTACAAGTTTCAACGGTCCTCGATTTTCGTAGTAAATACCAGAATGTTGAGTTAAGTGTTCGTCTGTGAATCGTAATGTGCCCGATGTGAACGGTATTGTTAGTAGGATAAGTCTGAAATCGTTTCAGCTTATTAGTCAAGTCATAGTTTTGAATATTTAATATAGTCCTACCTATAAATATTTTGATTTTTTTAAAATCTAAGTTATTAAATATTAACCCATTCCCATGTATAATTGATATATATAAAAAAAAAACTAATTGATAACCTTGTACCGAATAATAATAATAATAAAATAATAAAATAAAATACTAAAGAAAAAGTAAATACAAATTGAGTGAAAAATATAAATAATACGTTAAGTTACGTTATAATTCTACAGGTTCAATTTTGTTTTGTTTTGAGCGTACGGCGTCATTAATTGTGTTTTTATGAATTTTGTAAAGTTGTAAGAAAAGGCACCGCGTCCATTGGACGTCTGCACGTGGATCATGGGCTTCCAGTCCCCCATGGTAATATAAGTCTTCACATAACAGCGTATGTGCTTCGTCAAGTTTAAGCGCCCTTCCCCTTTTTATGTGCTTTCCTATTGGGATTGATGCTATCGGCTCGTTACTTCCGTAGTCAGTAAGTAAGAGGACGAAATGTCCATCCATGTGCAGGTCCCACCCTCGTAAGGAAAATACGGGTCGGTTAATGTTTAGTAGTTCCAAAATTTTTTTGTCGGTGCTTCCCTCCCACGTTAATATGGCGTCGTAATGATCTAATTGTTTTTTTATTTGCGGTTGTGTAAGGTTTGGTGACAATGAGTGGTCCGAGTCATATATTTGGGCGAGTACGGGGTACAAAGAGGAGGGTTTATCCTTAAATATGTGTTGGAAATGTCTAACCAACTGTTTCCATTCATCATCTGTAATGGGTCGATTTGTGCCCGCCCAAAGGTGAATCGTGGTGCTCGTAAATAATTTGTCGTTTTTCCTCGTCGGTAAACCGTTCACCCGTATATATTTTTACTACGATGTCGGTCGAACGAAACACGTACCGAAACATCGTTCGAATTCTTAAGAAGTTTGTTAATGAGGTAGGTCCGTCTATTTTGACAGTGGAAAAGGATTTAATTTGATTCGCAATACAATATTCACGAATATCGTATATGGCTTTATAAATGGTTTCCGCCTCCAATGGTACTGTGTGTGTTTTGGAAATGTTATAAAATATAATTAATTTTGTACCATCGGTGTAGGTACAGAACCGGTTTTCGTCAGTAAACTGTATTTCGTTAAAAACAATATTTTCAGTAATTGCACGTATCGTCGGATGCGTAATAATTTTGTCTTCCGGAATCGCGACTATAATGTTTTCACTGTCCGTGACCTTGCTAACGTCGCCCGCGATCTCGAGAATTTTAGAATTAAATATTGGCTTATTCTCGGCGGTACGGAAGTCCTTGAACTCGGTATCGAAATTCGTAGATTCCGTTTGTATTATTCGTATACGCGATAAACAGTCGGCGTTCGAGTGTTCGGGTCCCGCCCTATACGTAATAGTATAATCGTAATCGGCTAGCTGTAACCGCCAGCGCATAAGTTGCGACGATGCGTCTTTAATACCAAACAGGTATGTTAATGGTCGATGATCCGTTATAATGTTGAAATGACGACCATATAAATAAGGTCTGAAATATTTTACGGCCCAGACGATGGCTAATAATTCTTTTTGGATAACGCTATAGCTGCACTCAGCTTTGTTTAATGTCCTACTCGCGTATGCGATAGGTTGGTCTTTAGGAACGGTACCTTGTGACAAGACGGCCCCTATTGCATATTGACTCGCGTCGGTCATTAAGTTGAACTCCCCGTTTTTCCAATCTGGATAGACCAGTAATGGTGGGTTCATTAAAGCTTTTTTTAGTTCCTCGAAACTATGTTCGCAGTTATCGGTCCATACGAATGGTACGTTTTTCTTAAGTAAGTAAGTTAGTGGTTTCGCGATTTTCGCAAAATTGTCGACGAAACGTCTATAATAGTTAAGTAGTCCTAAAAATGATTTAATATCCTTTGCATTTTTCGGTCGAGGATATTCTCGAATACATTTTAATTTGTTTGGGTCCGGGGAAACTCCTGTTTCATTTATTACATGACCTAAGTACAATACTTCTTTCCTTAAGAAAGAACATTTATTAGGTTGTAATTTAAGTTTGTGCACGCGCAGCCTATTGAATACCTGTTCTAATTTTTTCTGGTGGTCCCTTAAGCTTGATCCGTGTACTACAATGTCGTCAAGATATGCGGTACACATTTCCTCAAGGCCCATAAGTACAGATTTCATTGCACGTGTAAAAGTAGCCGGAGCTGAACTCAGCCCGAAAGGCATGCGTAAAAATTCATAGTGACCGGATTTCGTAGAAAAAGCTGTTTTATGGGTATCAGCAGGATCTATATGCAACTGATGATACCCTGAAGCCAAATCCAACGTACTGAAGTACTTGGATGATCCTAGGGATTCTAATATCTCTAGTAAATTTGGGAGGCCATAAGCTTCATTCTCGGTTACTTCATTAAGTTTTCGGAAATCTACGCATACTCGTAATTTGGGTTTCCCTGTCGGATCTAGATTTTTCTTTTTCACTACTACGAGTGGAAAGTTAAAAGGTGATTTAGAATCTCGTATAATATTGTTATGTTTCATTTCTTTAATTTGTTTTTCAATTTCTTCTTGGTACGCCCAAGGTAAACGATACGGTCGTATGTTAATTGGTTTTGTACAACGCGGTGTGTTTATTGTGTGTGTCACGATTTCTGTGGCGCTCAAATAGTCGCCCGGTAGGTAAAACAGGTCCGCGTAATTACAACAGAGTTCGAGAATACTTTCGCGTTCCTCTTTATTTAAATCGTCGGTTTTAATCTCGCGTTTAATTTGTGTTATACGATCGCTTGGTTCGGCATCTGCGAAAGATGCAGTTAATACGTTTTCGTTATACGGCTCCCACTCGATATGTTGTATGGTAAGCTCGTCTATTACGAATGGTTCCTCCGAAATATTTATTACGTTACTAATAATGTTATCTTTATTAACCGGACTTATACTGTTCGCGATTATTACGTTTTCGTTTACGTCCTGTTTTTTTATAGTGATATTCTCGTGACTTATGTTTTCGTCATTTTTAATAAGTAGTACACAATTGCTACGCGGTGGTAATATAATTTCGTTAAAACCAGTTTTTTCGGGTATAGTTAATAAATTTTGGCTATAGTCCATAATGACCTTGTTTTGTTTTAAAAAGTTACGACCGATGATGCCTGACTCGTTTATTGGAAAATCGCCAAAAACGACGTCGAATTTTATGAGCACATCTACATCGTTAATTTGCATACTGGTTAGTATTGTACCTATGGTGAATATAGGAATTTCATTAATGCCTTTTATTGTGCGTTTCGCGGATTCGTTTACTACGACATGTCCTTCTAACGCGGTTATTTTAATAAGATTCATCTCCGCGCCGGAGTCGACTAATAATTTAATTTTACGAGGTTTGAAATTATCTGATGCACATATTATATGTTCCTCCTCGAAATTGGCTACAACTCTTACATGATTTTGGCTAATTTCATTCACTGTGCGGCTGGTGCTAGAACTTTCACCTTCCTTATTATTCGTTTTTTTACTTTCGTTATAAATACGTTTCCTACAATCTTTTATGTTGTGGTTTGGTTTTTTACAGTACGCGCAGAATCGAACTTGACCCTGATATTCGCGTTTTACTATACTGGTTTTGTCATCGCGACTGTTAATGGGATTCCTAAAATTTGTGCTGTATGATGTACCGGCGTTACTGCGGCACTCATTTGCATAGTGACCCATCTTGCTACATTTATTACATTTAATATTCTTTTTATTCGCGTTATTTTTCCCGTAATTATTTCCCGTGTTATTACGTCTATTAATATGTTGGAGATCCTGTTCCTCCTCGATCGCGATTGTAATGGCTTTTTCGAGCGAAGATACGTCACGCGCTCGTAAAAATGACCTAATTTCGGGTTTTGCCCCGTTAACGAATGCAGTAAGCGCCCCCAATTTGTGTGATGAGGCTACCGCTGCGGCTGATGCTGCCTCTAGCCCTAGTGTTAATGCTCCTACTAATTCATGATAGCATTTTTCAGTTCGCCCAGCAAAACTACGAACGTCCTCGTCGGATCGTTGTCTAATGTTACTAAGTTGTGATTGCAAATAGTTAATTGAATGTGGTGCCCCAAAAACGTTCCTAAGGTGGTTTTTGAGCTCTGACCAGTTCGAGAAATTTCGGTAACGAGTAGCTTGGTAAGCGTCTCCCTTCAGTTTGGATAGTATATTGCGAAATACTACTGTTACAAGATTTTCATGGATATTTTCCATTACGTAGTTACATTCTGTTATATATGAGGCTAGTTCTACCTCGGTACCCCCGCTAAAGTTAGGTATGCCGCGCAAGGCGGAGTCAATTCCTAATGTTACGCTCATGACTGTCGTTTGTAAAGTTTGCGGGTTATATTTAACTACTGCCCAACACCTCGGACTCTCAGACATATACTATATAATTGCTTGTTAAAAATAACAACTTACAATGTGTAACTCATTGCGATTTCTGTCTGGTCCTGATTGCTTGCGTGCTGACGGCTCTGCTGACTCGTCGTTGATGCTCCGCTTGGCTTGTTGAGTGAAGTTGGTTGAAGTTGGTGGCTTGGCTTGCTTCCTTCCTATGTATCAGCGTCGTGGATGAACTCGAGGTCCGCTGATGTACTGGGATCCAGGTTGGTTACTGGAAAACTTCCTTCAGATGACCCCACACCTGACACCAAAAGACGTGTAGTGATCCCTCACTAACGCTTATATTTTTGAGTTCGACGACGTTGATGGTTGAATAGGATAAAAGGTTGCAGAGACAAGTTACACAAGTTAGTTATAAGTAGTTTATTAATGTTTTAAAAAGAGTAAATGTTCACAATTAAGTGTATAAATTTGAGGACAGAGCGAAAAGCATCTGCCCGAGAAGTTAGTTACGTACAGTATGTACGTAGTGCAAACTCTAAACTAATTCCAATTTTGCAATAGACATCATCTTATATTTATATGAAATCTATGCGGATATAAAGTACACGGTAGAGTCTAGGAGGTGGATATTTGAAAGGAGCCTGGATGTAGATGTTGTTATTGCCAAAAGACCCGAGTGGTTGATTGGCAATTTAATCCGTTTGTTTTCGCATTATTTGGCGAAGCGAATAATCGTTAGATTAGTTGCTCTGTCAAATCCAAGGTTTGAAACAGATAAGTTTTAGTTGCGCTGTCAAACCCAAGGTATTGCAAAAATAATCCTAGTCTTGTCGTTGTCCAGCGTGACATCGTGAGAAATGTAATTATAATATTGAATATATAAGAAACGTGTAGTGTAGTGTATCAATATATAGGAAACGACTCTGTCGGTTTACTACAGTGGCAAATTGTTAATAACATTACAAAATATTTTACTAGGTTTGGTGCATATATCTTCGGTTGCTTTGCGTTTCGAAATATCAGTCATGAATTGTTTCTGAAGGTTTTGGTAATTTAATGATTCGTGGCTATTACTTAAATGTTGTTAATTGGTTCTGTCGTCATCACCGTTTTTAAAACCACTGTGGAA